CATCAGCTGGTGGAATAGCCTGGGTTAACGATAGAGCTGTCCCATGACAAACCAAATACACTTCAATTAACACTTTTTTTTTTTTTTGATCTGAGCTTCATTCCTTTTTTTAAACAGACAGAGCCCTGATGGAGGGAGATGGTTAAAATTATGACACCAGGAGGGTGGTTTTTTGCTGTCCCTGGAGCTGCCCACTCTCCCTGGGCCATCAGGGGATGGCGTGTCCATTAATGAGGGGGTTGATGTATGGACTTGCTGCATAATGACACCTTCTGCTCTTCCCCTACTCTAACACCACAGGGGCAGACGGGCTGAATTTAATGACAGCAGGTTCATTTCTTGGTTATTTTTCTTCTGGGGTTTGTTTTTTTTTTTCAATGCTACAGTGTCACCTCCCTTTGCACTAGTTACCTTCTGTAGTTTGCTGGTGCTGAGTTACTTCTTCTCTTGGGCAGAGCCCAGATGTGAACCCGGTCAAGTGCCCTCCTGATGCCTTCTGCCCCCGGGGCAGCACAGAGCCGACCTACTGCATGGAGCTCTTCCTATACAAGGCAGGGGACTCCTGCCAGCTGACCCCTGTGATGATTGTTCTCCTGGCCACCTTCTCTGCAGGTGAGCATCAGTCTTCTCTGTCCTGTAAAACTAGTGGTAAAACTAGACAACCCTCTGCAACCTGGGCACCTTTCTGTTAAACCAAGTATTCTCTGGATGGTGTATTTTGTGTTTCTGGGAACCTGGATTTCTAGTGAAGGTCTTTCTGGCTGCTTTCAAGGCCAGTGATAATCCTTTCCCTGTTGGTATGCATTAACAGCTGTACTTTTTCTGGAGTAAGGCTGAATGCTTGTTGTCTGTCCCTGGGAAGCAGGTGTGCATATGGACCCCACATCAGGAATTTCTTGACTGCCCAAAAGTAGGAAATAAGGCCAATTTCCTTTTGGTATGAGACTTTGCTTCCTGAAAGCATTTCTGCCTTAACTTCTGCCACAGCATCCAGCAGGACTGGGGGCTGCCAGCTCGTGCACTGTTGCTTGTATTGATGCCATAGTGCATCTTGTAATCAGCAGAATGAGACAGCCAGCACCTGCTGAGTGTGGGGAGCATCCCTCATCCCAAGTGCCACCTGCTGGAATTAGCTCACTAGGGCAAGCCAATGCATGGATGAGCTTTTCTGCTGGGAAGCTGCACCATGAACAATCATTCCAAGACAATGTATTTGCATTTGTAGTCTTAGCAAAGGGAAAAATAGAGTTCTGTTGGTTTTAATCAATGTTGGGGGAGGTTTAGTTGGAAAGTTATTATGAAAATGGGCAACTATTACTGCTATGGATTGCAAAAAGGGCAGATGAGGAAGCTGGGAAGAGGGATTTGTCTCCCATGCCCAGGCAAATGAAGAGAAATTCTTAAGTGCCACTTATGCTACCAGAGATGAAAATCTTGTGTCAAGAGAGCTAAGTCATAGAGATGACTAAGCCATCAGAGGATAAGGAATATCCAATAACCCTCATATCCATGGCTTTCTGTGTTTCAAGTGTGTGTTATGTACCTCCTGAAGACCCATTCTTCACTCAGCTCACTGTTGTTAAAAGGCGGGGGAGATAAAATAGATGTGCTATTCCCCAGAGTGAGCAAAGCTGCTTCTCCAACAATAGAGCAGCACAAGCTCCCATCAAATTCCTCTCCTGGTGGCTAAGGAGAGGACTCCATGGATGCATGGAGGAGACCAGGACAGCAGGATCTGGAGGAGCTCTAACAGCACTGGCTGACTGCTTGTCTCTCAAGAGCTGAAACGCCTGGTGGGAGCAGATGAGGGTTGTTCTCACAAGCTGTGGCTCGGAGCCATGTGAAAGCTCCTCCACTGACCCCTATCCCCCTCATGCCAGGCTGTAGTCCAAAAATCTGCCAGATGCCATCTGAAGCGAATATTAATTTGAAAAAGTAGATTAAAATGAAGTGTATGAAAAGCCCGTCCACAGAGGCCCACAATGGCCCATTAACCAGCATTTCTGATAAACAAGTCCGAGGGTGAGAGAACAGCATTCCCTGGCGCAGTCCCGCCTCTCCCAGAGCTTTTTACAAGGCGGGGGAAAGGAAACAGCCCACACAGGAAAACACGAGTATTTAATGGCTGGTCTCACAGATCAAGTGTTTAGCATGAGACTGTCTGCTCATGCAGCCTAAATTTGGGCATATTTGTCTGGCCATATTGCATCACAGCGACAGATCTGTGCTCTTCTGTTCAGATCAATTTTCCCTGATGATGCTTCTGCCAGAAACAAATGAACAGAATGTCGCAGTACTTGAGATTTGCCAATTATTTCCATGTCTATGCCCAATCTAAAAGTAATTTTTCCTGACAGCCCTGATGATCTCGGTCTAGACTCAAAAGTTAATCTAGGTTAGTTACTTCTTGTGCTTCAGTGTGAGCGCTGCTCAGAGCAAACTAATTTCTCAATAAGAGCCTTTGGTGGGATCTGCAGTGGATAGGATGCCAAGTAGAAAAGAACAGTTCCATGGAGCAGAGAGTAAATGGGAGTAGGAAAGCAAATTACTGAAGTATTTCATTAAAACCTGCCATTATTCCCTGCAGCTTCAAGAGCAAAACTGAAATGCTGGAGTGTTTATTATTATTGCTAGCCAAACCTTTCTTTGGTGGTTTATTTTGGGGGTTTTTTTGGGGGGGTGTGGGAGAGGCAGAGTATGTAGGAGAAAAAACCCTTATGTTACTGGAAGAGAATACCTGGGTTGGAAAGCCTTAGAGCAAATATCACCTGGTGCTTTACCTTCCCATCTGAGAATGACTACCCTTCCTCTCTTTCCAGGTGGAATCCTTGTTGTCTTTCTAATAATTCTGAGAAGGAGGCAAGACTCTGGCAGGAAATCATTGAAGTCTCTGTTGCTGCCCCGAGGCTCAGGACAACACTCGACTTACGGGGGCATGGAGCACACAGAACCAGTCTATGCTGGGTGGTAGCACAGGACAGGCCACCAGCAGGCACCTGCCTCTTTTGCCTGGGGCAAAACAGATGTGTGTGTGTATGGGCAAGGTGTTTAACCACAAGCAACCTATTTCTGTATAGGTAAAATAAGTGCTGAGAAATAAAACTCAGTTTTTGAGTTGTGGCTGCTTGTGCGAACCAACCCAGCTGCCTGCTCTGCCACACTGGGCTGATGGAAAAAGTGTTCCCCTTTCAATTCCTGGCTTCATTCACAAGTAAATATTTTTCTCCTTTCCCAGGGGGAAAAAAACCCAAACAGAAGCAAACAATTATGTCTCTCTTTCCATTTCAATAGTCAGCTCACTCTGACCGCTCCAGTTATTGAAGTTCCTGTGACACAACACTCCCTTCCACCCGAGCATGAATTAACATGAATGTGCTTCTTTTTACTAATATGTCATTTGTATTTTTTTTTCTCATTATCAAATGGGTAAGTCAAGGGAAGGAAAAAGCTTTCCCCTTTCTCTCAGCTGTGGGCAAACGTGCAACTAAAATAATGGTCAATTCTGGGACAAATACATCTCTTTTGTTTCCTGCTGTAAGGTGGTCCTTCATACTAGAGCTACAAAAGCAACTCAAAGGGAGCAGCATGGTGCAGGCACAGAAAATTCCTTGCAGAGTTTTGCATGCTGAGGAGACGGGCCTGTATGAGACCCATTCCCTAAATGCCCATGCAAAGTTCTTTCCCTGATCCCGGACACTTGATTCATCCCCCACCCATAAGAGCAGCAGGTCTGGTTTCTACCTGTTTGCACTGCCATTCCAAGCCTTCTCCTGTGCACCCAGCCCAGTTTAACCATCTTGTTAAACTGATGTGATTTGTTTTACAGGGGTGGTTTCAAAGTGTGTAGTTGGGTGACTCTTCTCTTTTTAAACTTATTGTTTGCTGTATTTTCCCTATTGTGCTTTTTCTCTCAGTCATGTTTGGTCAGTGCCCCAGGCACTCAGAAATGCCACTGACTGTACTGGAGTCAGGTTCAACTGCTCCATGAAACCAGTACCTGGGGCCTCTTAACCTTCCCACCTTCCTTTTCTTCCTACAGTGACGTTCACACACGTGCTGTGTAAGCCCAGACAGACCAGCCAGCTGTGACCCTTCGTGTCAGGGCTGTGCTTCACCAGCTCCGTGAGTGCTTGTAAAAATAGTACCTACTATGAGAAGATCCACGCTTTCAAATGACTCTGCACTGAGGTGGGAGCAGGTGTTGCTTCTCACTTCAGTCTTGCACTAATGGGCCCCTGGAGCAGCTCAGTCGGCTGAATAACCCAGCTGTGGGGGGTTAAGTGGTTCCTGCCCTCAGCTGCTCATTCTCTCTCCAGGGGAGGTGTTAGTGTGTTTCAAAAAATATATAAAATATATCAGTGTTCTGATGTCTCTCAGCTATGTCGGATGAATAAATGGATGGCAAGAGAGGTACATCTGCCATTGGGGACAGACAGGTTGCCCAGAGAAACTGTGGATGCCTCATCCCTGGCAGTGTTCAAGGCCAGGTTTGATGGGACTTTGAGCAACCTGATCTAGTGGAAGGTGTCCCTGCCCATGGCAGGGCGGTTGGAACTGGATGGTCTTTGAGGTCACTTCCCATCCAAACCAATCTGTGATTCTAATCTGGATCAGCAGCAACACCAGCACAGGCACAGGTCCCTGCACCCTCCCAGCAGTCTCCCTCACGCTGTTGATTCAGGAGACAGACATGAAGTTTCTCGACTGGCAAAAGGCTGTGGTTTTTCCAGGGAGCAGCAAAGGGACACAATCCTGATGCACAGCACTAGATGAGCTCAGCAGAACAGTAAGGCACTGGTATCAAAGCAGTTCTCTGGAATGGTTTTTTAAAAAATGTAGCTGCTGTCAGACGTAGAAGACTCTACACATGAAGCCAAACCAGACCCTCCTTCCCCCACAAAAAAACCCCAATCTGTCTGAAAAAGCAAAACAGTCAAATTCAGACCTGGGCAAGCAGGACCAGCACCCGTGACAGCAAAAGGAACCCGAGGGAACGGCGCTGGTCGGGCTGAGTGGCTCCAGCTCAGTGCCACTAGAGCCTGTAGAATTATGAGCACAGCACTCTCACAGGAAAAACTGGACTGCAAAAAATGTCAGTATTTTTGTGATAAAAGAAGCTGTGAAAACAAGCCAGAGCACAATCACTATCACCTCCATGTAAGCATAAAACAGTATTTCCATGGCGTCTCTTAGGAAGTCCTGGAGTGTAAGTTTTCCCTATGAAAGAACAAAACCCCATTCCCTCGCTGTCAAACCATGCTTGCCTAGTATGTATCATTTTTCTTTAAAGAAAAAAATTTGGTGCAAAAATAAGTATATAGAGCTGTTTTATAAAAAACACTTAGCAACTTCTTAAATAACTAGGAATGAAATACAATATTTAATAAGACATTGAAGTTTCTCAAGCAGTCAGACATGGAATAATATGACTCAACAATGTGGAAAAATCCCATTAATACGTCTTTCAAGATATTTTGCTTTTCCAAGTAATTCAAATTAAAAAAAAAGAAAACCTAAACCTGACCATGAACACAAAGCTACTGAACAAAACAGACATTTGATTATTCTTCCTAGAGTGTATGAAAATACATCTAACATATTCAACTGAAAACTGTTCCCATTCTTGCTCATGTGATAAAAGAACAACAAATTCTGAAATTGGCTGTCACGTATCAGCTTTTGTTTGGAAAAGGAAAGACATTTTGCTACTTTGATGGGCAAGACACAAAGAACATAATTTAAGGCCACATAATTTGCCACACTTAGATTTTGTTTAGATGAATTTATAACAGAACACCTTTTAGGTTGCTGAATGCTAGGAAGTACTGAGTTGCATCATGAGAAAGCTCAATTTTTGAAGATTGTTTTACCTCTTATTTGAACAGTGGGTGTCTTAGTTACAGGGACTGGGACCAGTTTATCACCTTGTGGGTATAACCAAAACTGTGTATCCTACACCCTCTATGTCATTTCTGATGGACTGGTAATAATGGATCATTTGCAGCAGCTGCCCAGGGCACACCTGACACCTGAAGCTACAAGCCAGGTGTTAAAGAACTCTGCAAGGAGCGTTTCTTTGTCTTCACACCAAAGACTCAGCTGTGATAACCCCCCTCCGGGGAGGCATTAGCACCTTCACACCCAGCCTGAGAGGTCATCTCTGTCCCAGGGACTGGGTTATACATCTGTCTTTGGGGGTTAAAACCAGTTTTTCTCTGTATCATTGCATCTATTGTAATAGTTTTTTGTAAGTTTTAACTCTGACTTACAATCTCTCTGGAGTTGGATTCATTTCTCCCGCCGGTTTACTTTTAAACCAGCACAGTGGGAGAAGGAAAACAGCAGAACAACTTCTCTTTTGCCCTCTTTTTTAAACAAAACTTTGGCCTATTTTCCCAGGCTGCAGAGCAGGGTACAGAAGCCTTCATTAAAACACACCTAAAGCCCACCTTTCTTGACTCAGAAACTAAAACTGTCCCAGACTGCCACGTGAGTGACTGAGCTGAGCAGGTCAGTACGTACTGAGGGGGAATATGATCCACATTTCTTTTAAAGATCAGTCTAAAGGATGTGCCCAGCAGAAGGAACGAATCACTGGGAACTCAAAAGGGAACTCCTGGTTTGCAGTCTCAATGATGCAAAGCTTCATTGGCCCCGAGAGCTGAGTAGTAAAGAGCAGGGAAGAGGTAGAAGGAGGCGGGAAGTGGAGCAGCCGCTCCCTCAGATCTGTTTGTGCGAATGTAAGGAGGGCTCGGAGGGGTCGCTTTGGACACCCAAGTCCTTATGTCCCCACAGACAGACACAAAGGGGTGGCTGTCCTGCATCCTGCTGTGATAAATGTGCTTGTGATCCCACCGGAGAGGTGGGCAGGGAGCTGCAGGCTCCGTACCTGATCCCAAACCGGAGGGTGTTACTGCAGCAGTGCACGTCAGTAACTGTTTGAGACAGTGGCTTCTGCCTCTCACTGTTCCAGAGTGCCAGAGCTGTTACACCTACACATGAAGAGGAAAAAGCAACACACCAACTAAAAGAAATTAACAAATTATAAAATCAATGGAATGTAAAGGTAAAATTTTATAATAACTTACTTAAAAGCCTTCCTTACACAGTATAGTATTCAAAGAATGGTCCCAATGACATCAAATTCCTTCATTTTGTTTAAAAGCAATGAGGAAAATATTTCTGCTTTACTACCTGACCTCGTTTTCCTCCCCGCAAACCCCAATATTAGAGAAACATCCATGGTACCATCTTTTGGTTTTGATTTTAGGCACAGGACTTTTCTTCAGTCCCATGGCAGAAAGTTTCCCTCAAAACCAATTAAGGAATCTTGAATTTTAGCTCGAATGCAAGGCTTGGCATACCATTTCAAGAAATACAAACATGTAACACTTCCCCTGATTCTGACCTGTGCTATTTCTTCAAAATTATTTGAAAAAAATTAACCTTCCAACAGTGTTTATAAAATCTGATTCAAAGAACAAAGCAGTTTGGTCACAAAACAGGAACAAAAGAGTTCAGAATATGGTAATGCGACATTTAAAACCTCTTTCAATTAATACCTTCTAATAAAACCAAAGTTTTTATGTGTTGGGAATAAACAGGGATTTTAATAATTCAAAAAAACTATATCTTCAATCAAATCCTGAAGAAATACCTTGGGAAAAAACCATACACTTTCATGATATAGCAAGGCTTCATTTTCAAAAGGGCTACACAGAGTTTTTGCACTATTAAAGGCAAACTAAGCTAGAACATACACAAATGACTAAATGGACGTGGAGGCGCCCGTGGTGTTTACAGAGGGTAGATGACAATGGCACAAGTCAAAATGTGCTTGTAATGCTGCCTAATCACGGGGCCAAGGACATGCACTGGGAAGAAAACTGCCACGTGTTTTTCTTTACCGTTTTTTCCTAGTTCTAATATTTCCATCAATACTAAATCTCCTATATTCATCTCACTGTGAGAACCCAACGCTGATGAGAGCAAAGGATTCAAAACAGCTTTGCTGACACAACACAGTGGTGATGAGATAGTCAAGAGCAGAGCTTGTAAAATTGTAACAAATAATTTCAGTCTGTCAAGTCAAGTAGCCAGTTACAAACTTTATTGAAAGGAACAGTCAGGCTAAATTTTGTATTAAAGTTACTCCTTATGTGCTTCTTCAAAAATCTATTTCACTTTTACTTAGTTGTTTTGAATTTAGTTTTTGCACTTTAGTCAAGTTTCACCTTCTGTTTCATTCACAGGGGTGGTTTTACCTGTTGCTGGGCATTTCTTGCATTATCATAAAGTTGTAGTGCTTGGACTCCAAGCATTCCAAAGAAATGTTTGCATCTGTGTTTTACCTGACATTAAGGAAAAAAAAAGACCAAGTAATTTTTTCCAAATAATAGGTTTTGTAAGATTTATTTTTATTAAAACACAAAAATCCTAGGGTATTGGCCCTAGACTGCAAGACAATATCCCTTTAAATCCTGACTTGTACAGCTCTGCAGGATCAAGTCGCTTCTATTTTGCTGGGATGAAACACAGGAAAAAACAGTATAGAAAAAAAATCCCTAACAAAGTAGGATTTCCCCTCTCTGGTATGGGGTATGCCTTTCCCACCATGCAGTACATTTCTTGGTGGAAGGATATTTAAGAACATGATTGTTTGATAATAATTTTCTAAGAGCACAAACGAATTGTTGTGTGTGTGGTTATAGCGAGATACACACCTGGACCATGACTGGCATTCAAGCACTTGCTCAAAAACACACAAGGCAAGCAAATCTTATTGGGACCACAGACCAAGCCATTTCTTACTCAAAAGGACTTGAGAGCTAACAACTTCTTTCAAGGATATACTATTTTAAACATCTGTTGGTTGACAAATACTATCTCAAAAAACTATGTTTACGCCTACCTGGTTTGATTTTTAACCTACCTCCAACCTGCAAGTATTTTGGAGGGAACATTTTACATTCGTAACAATTCAAGTGTAACTGTAATGCTGAGTAATAAGTTTGGTTTGTCCTGAAGTTTACTGAACTATGCAGTTCGTTATCAGTGCAGAAGCAGCAGAAGACTGCTGTGGTTGGCTCAGTGGAATTATAAAAACAAAAACAAAAAATCCCCCCCTCCCATGTAACCTTTACAGAATATATGTAAAACTGTGTCCTTCCCTGGTCATATTCACAACTTATCTACAAGATAGTGTTAGCAGTAGAAACTGCAGTCCATGACTATTTGCATTCAGCTCTCATCCATCTGTTCCTCTTTCTCCTCGGCTTCAACTTGTTCAGTTTTCTGCGGGGTTTCTCAGTCTTCCGAGTTTCAACAGAATCCACCCCGAGAACATGTTCAGAGCAGCATAACTGTCCATTCAACATAGAATTTAGTACTGTCCTGTCTTGGTGCTCCTTGCAGAAAGAATTTGGGCAGAAGTGGCAGAAAGAAACAGAAGGTTTGCCACAAACATCACAGTGGTGCCAAGGACACTCCCACTTCCCTGCAGTCAAAAAACAAAGAGCCCATTAGCGAGTGGGGAGTAAAACATGGCATCGTCTCTGAAAGAAGTTTTGTGTTTTAACAGCTGAACAACACAACCTTCCTGACAAAGCAAATGAGACAGCAACTACTGGGGCTAATCTCAACACAAAATGCTACTTCATACTTCTAAAGCTCAGCTGACAGCTGTAAGGAGCACACTTGACATACTCTCAATTTAAATACAGCAGTCAGCTCCAGCTAGAAGAAAGTATTCAGGCTTTACTCAACAACATTTTGCAGAACTTGCAGGCTGGTAGAGCAGCTCAACCGCTGCCTATTACAGCACTCACCTGTCTGTTGCCAGTTTTGCTCAGGGATGGCTGGTGTGCTTCACCTACGGCTGCTCTTTCGCCCCAGCATGCTTTACCCAGTCCTTGTTTTACTTGTTTCTGGGATAACAGGCTTTCCCTGCTTCCCTTCTTCATATCCCACCTGACATGGCTGTTTGGAACCAGGTAACTCCTGTGATATCTAGAAATGCAAACTGACTGCTGCTCCTAATTTTCCTACTCGTCTCCTTCCAGAAGTTGCTGTTATTCCTCTGCCTTGAGCTCAAAGGGCTTCATGCATTTCTCAGATATAAAACAACTTTCCTGTGACAGTGCTCATACCAGGTGATGTACTCAACTGCCTACATTTGTAAAGCAAACAGTTCATTTTAGCAGAGAGGCAGGAGGAGGCCATCATTTTGTCTCTGCATCCAGGAGAAGCTGCTCCTACGTGATGCAGGAACAAAGTTCTCACCACGCAAACCCAGTATTTTCAAGATGACATTCCTGACAAGGTTTGAATGCAATAAATGAGGTACCTGCACAAGTTATTTATAAGAGTGTAAGAGGTGGGCTGACTCACCAAAAGGACGTTTCACCAAACCAAGACAGGAGAGATGATAAGCTTTAGTACAAGATTTCCTGTCACACAGTACCAGCTGGCCTCCATCCCCACAACGGAAACAATCATCTTCAGATTCCTTCTTCCCTTCATTTTTCATTCTGCGTCTCCGTGTTCTCTTTTTGGTCTTTTTGCCTTTTTCTTCTGAGGCATTAGTGGAAGAATTCTAAAAGATGCAAATCTGTTAATGCCAGTTTTGCAAAGCAAAAATATAACACAACCTAGACAAGCTGTTGGCACACCTGGCAGACTGTGCACACAGCCAAAAACTTGACTTGGGGCAGACCTGTCCAGTGCCTCACCATACTGATCTGTGTTGGCAAAATCCCCACACTGACCCTTGTGAAAAGTCATCCTAAAACCAGACCTTGTCCCTACAGTACCTTCCCTACTGGAAACCCCCTTCACTTTCTTGTCACTGACAAAAGGTCTTCCAATTTCCAGTCTGATCTACTTGTGGCTAATTTAGCCCCATTTTGTACTTGCACCACCAATCACTTCAATACCCATTTTTCTCTTCCAGTTGTGAATACTATTGCTGGAATTACCAAAACCTGCCTCTATTTCTCTTTGAGGAACAGACAGCAGAACTTCAGGAACTGTAGTTGTGCCTGTAATGATAGAAAGAATATTCCAAACCTCATCTCTATTTCAATCTGACATTCTGCTGCTTGCACTTCACCAAATCATGTAAAATTTTGGATGTTTTTTCAACATCCTTACCATCATTCCCCTCCTTCTTACCCCAGTAATCATTATCTACTTTCTTTAAAATTAGCCCATTCTATCTACCAATGCAGACAGCTCTGCAAAACTGAACTGTAATATTTCATTTTTTCATGGCTGTCTGTGTAAATGGATCACAAGCTTCTGTGAAACTTCACCTAAGCCTATCTCTAAACAAAAAAACGACTATGTGAACTCTGGAGATTTTCAGTCCACCCTCTGAAGTGGCTGGTACTGAGCAGTGTGAAGGGCCACAGGAAGGTGCAGCTTTTGAACATCCACAGCTGGTACTTGTGCCTTCCCTTGCACTCCTATTCCAGCCCTTCAGGAAGCCCCATCAACTGCTGGATTACAGGTTTTAAACTAACCTGGCAGGAATCATACAGATAATTTCTTGACATAATTTTATATTATTTTCTCCTCATTCAAAACTCACATTTTTTATTCCTCAGTTCAACTGATTTTTCTTTAACGAATCTTAAAATAATAATATTTTAAGGTTTAGATGGGAGAAATATAAACTGCAATGTCAGAATAATCTCACTGACTATGGTGCATTCTTAGTCAGTTCAAAGCTCCTACAACCCTTCCTCTCCCCATGTTTCAAATGGGAGTGGGGAGGTTATTCTTCTGAAATCCCATTTTTTTTAATATGCTTTTGATTTCAGAAACTAGTGTCAGTAGCTAGCAGTATTTCTTATTCAGGACCCAAAGTAATTAATTTCTCATAGGAGAAAGTGGTAGAAAATATTTTGGGCTGTTCCCAAAACCAGTTATCACCTACTATACTGTTATAGCATGAAGTGTATTCTTTAGTATCAAGGTTATGCTTGGCAAAACTATGTTTCCATCTTCCCAGCAAGGGAAACAACAAGCTTTGAACTCAGATGACAGAAAGCATCTGTTCATGCATCATCACCCCTTATTACAACATAAAACTGGTCCACTGACTCATACCCCAAAAGAAAAACCCAGGGTAGTAGACAAGACTGTCAGAATCTCTTGATGTATTACTTGCCTTTGGTCTGTCCCCAAGAAATCCACTGCAGTTTGGGGCACCGCATTTGCAGACTGTTTTTTCATTGCCCAGACAGTCAAGGTTGTAATTAAAAGTCAGCTCCGTCCCTGAGTGAGAAAAGACAAACCCTTTCATTGTGAAGGACAAGGTAACAAATTCTATCAAAATTATTACAAAGAAATGCAGCTTTCCTTATCTGTCTGCTGGTTTGGGACTTGATGTATTGTCACAGGATTTTCGTCCCCTTTACTTCTCATAAGCACCGACAATGATTAATGAGATGCCCACACAGCACGATGGGCAATTACATTTTAAAATAAATTGGTTTGACTTCACAAATTGGTGCGTGTGCCTGGTCTACACACTTATATATGTTATATAGATTACCTATCTATCTATCTATCCATCCATCCATCCTTCCAGTTAGATACAGTTATAGATAGATATATGTGTGTGAGCGTGCGTGTAAACAAACCAGAACATACCTACTTTTAAACAGCCTCCTACATCCATGCCTTAAGCTTATTATCTTCATGTGAAAAGATGCAAAATACTGTTTGAGATCTCCAAAACAAAAGCTAGGCTCTACAACACAAAGTGAGTGTAAGAATACTAACTTACTAAGGATACTTGCCCTTTCTAGAAGGAAGCAATAAAAAGCAGCCATGGGACTCAATATTAAGAAACACTGAAGTAAAAGGCAGGTTACGAAGCATCTCTCTGACTGCTGAGTTCTCTATAAAAATATTTGCACTGAATCAGTTAAAACATGACTGTCCCACCCATAAGTGCAGAAAAGGTTTAACTTAAGGAATGAAACCAAACCCAGGAGAAGCTGACATACCTGCAGGAATATCACACACAGCAAACAGCCCGACACGAGTGTCCCCATTCACTGTCCACTTTAGAGTTTCACAATTTGGTTGGCAGCTGTGATTCATAAACCGAGAGTAGTTTCCTTTGGGGCCAGCATCAATAATACGGTCCTGGGGGAGATCAGACCAGCAACAGAATGAATGTCTTTTCTCTCCCCCTCACAAAAAAAATAAATCCATACATGATTTCAGTAGTTGCATTCAGAACAAACAGGGTGTTGCTACCCAGAGCACAAAAGAAGATCGATGGTACATGTTGTATTGAAAACTGTAGTGTCCCATGTGGCCTGGAATGTGACACTCCCAAAGCAATACTTGTGCTCTAGCTCACGTTTTCCCAGCACCCATCGCAGCCACAAGGCAGGATAAGTGTTCTTGTGAGCACTGTGGTGGTTAAGGAACCCCCTCCCTCAGGAAGCCTCAAAACTCAGTCTGAGTCCATTTATCTTTTACTTTGCATTCACAGAGCTGTGAGGCATTTCCAAATACTATGCTTTATGGCATTTACCAAGTCACTGCATGATTACTTGCAGAGATTATCAGTCTCACACCAGCTTTTTTTCCCCAAATCAGCCTAGTTTAAACAAAAACAAGCTCTTGGTAAACTAAAAAATCCCATCCCTACACACAACTGCTTTTTAGTTCCTATCTCCACTGAACATACCAGATATTAACAAAATAAAATCTTGAAATAGCCAGAACTGTGTTTCTCTGCAGAGCTGCTTAAGAGGGATTTGCTAATTAATGAAATATTATTAGAGTTTCCCTTTAACTCATTTTATAATGCACATGCATGACTGCCATGCCTATGTGCACACACCCCCAGCCACTCCAACTCCATGGGCAGCTCGACCCACAATTAGTATTTATTAATTACAGCAAGAGTCAAATACATGCTCAGTTCAGATATGTAACACACTGACGTTGTGTGTCAATTTAGTAGAGGGGTGAGAAACTTTAAGTGTTCAGAGAAACGTGGTTTCATCATTCCTTGGGTGATAACTCCAGTAACAGGAACTCCTCAGTCACAGGTTTAATGAAAACAGTAGTTGTGGAAATACAGACCAGGATAGTCTTGGGCAAAAGAACAGTGGTTGGGACCGAAAGAAATGCAGGACTGGCAGCCAGTTCTTGTTTTTTTCCTAACTAGCTTTTTTTGGGGGGACTGAAGCAATATAATATATGTAACAATACCTCCTACTGTCCAGGTTCTCCACTTTCTTCTCCTTCTCAGAAAGAAAATACTCAGAGGTGGGCACAGAACCACAGGTGCTGCATTAATTTGGTGTGGTAATTAATCTGCTGCAACAATTTGCTGCAGAATCAATTTGTGGAGTACTGGCTGGCTACTAATGCAGAGAGTGCTTTCAGAAAAAGTTTCTACAAAAGCACACGTCTAGCTTTGTTATAAACTAAGAAATGGACAGATAGATCCAAAAAATATTAAATGCCCAATATAAGACACAGCCTCACAATTCTATTTCACATTCTCTCAAGCGAGAATTTTATGTTCTGTTGTTGAAATTTTACTAAAAGGATTGCTAACAGTAATTCTTTCAACTGTATCACTACTATTTCCCAACACTTCATTTTGAGACTAGGCAGGTAAATACTTTGCTGCACCTGATTTCAAGCAACAAAACTAGATACTGTGTTACCAGATAACACAGAACTAATGAATGCATTATATACATAAAGAATGCAGAGAACAGGCACAGAAGATACAATACTATGAATACAGGAAACTGTGAAACATCAAAGGCAGCAGAGAGCCCTACCAATGTGATCAACAAGAGAAAAAGAGATCAAAATAATAACTAAATAATGGCAAAAAAGTGTCAAATACTCTACCTTATCAATAGTAAGCATATAGAAGTGGGTAATGTCATTTTCATGTGCATATTTGATTCTTGCCATACATTCCTCTTCATCAATCAGCTCTCCCACATACTCATTCACAAACTCTCCCTGGAAGATACCAAGTATCACTAGTAAAGTATATACCAAACCCACAGACAGCATCACAAGTCACCAATTCCCCGCTGGGGCGAGAACAATTCATACCTTTTTGATGTCCCTCTTGGCGACCAGACCCCACCCTTTCCCGTCAGTTTTGATGATCTTGGTCTCGGGGTACTGGCGCTTTGTAAAGCACTGGTTTTGGCACCTCTCCCCCGCTGGGCAAACCTGGGGATGGCACTCGTACATCAGCATCCGGTTGAGGCACTCGGAATCAAAGCCGCAAGGGTTTTCATCTGTGGGTTTGCAGTTGCACTTGGGAATCTCAGATATGTCAGCAGTGTATATCTGCACTTTACCACAAGGTTTATTCACCTGAAAAAAACACATTAAAATATATCACTTTAGAACGTTTGAATTTGTTGTAAGAGTTATTAAGGCGGTTACTAATTTGTTTTTCCCACACTAGGTGTTCCAATGGAAGCAAAATTTCACCACAGCAGGACTGTAAAAGCACAATTACCAGCACAGCATCATAACCTGTCCCTAGCTCACAGCTCAGCTTTTCCTCTCCAGTGCTGCCTGAGACCTTTGAGTATCCAGTGTAATTTCCTCAAACTTTACCTTAATGTGCTTGTATGGTGGAGGTTTGCGTTCACTCTCCTGGGTTTCTTTGGCTTCTCGCTGTAGCTTTATTTCTCGAAATCGAGCTTCAGCTTCTTGCAAAGCTGAAAAAGATTGTCACATCAACAGAAATGCCAGAAAGGGGATTACTCTCCCCAGGTTGACTTGCTCATTCCCATGTGTGTTAAACAAATAACTGTCTGCTTCCTAGTCCCATCACTCAATTTTCTTACAAACAATGCTTCTGAGATGTTAATGCTCTCAACAGATGTACAAATTTTACTCTTTCAGTCTCCCAGTTACACTTTTCTTTTTCCTTTCCAGAAAGCAAAAATCATCAGAAATAATTCCAATTAGATCCCAGTCTTTTACAAGACATGAAAATAACGTTTTCATTCAAAGATAGTAACAGTGGCTGCTGCCTAGGACACCACAACAATTTCCTTAATTCAATATTGTAAAACAACTGTACAAAAGCAGACCCCAAGGCTATGTGTGAAGAAAGCAAAGCATGCATATCCCTAGATTATTTTTGTTTACTTTTAGCTATGTACCATTTTTGAAGACTTTTCCAATTCCTTTGATCCCTTGGTATCTACTCCCTCTGTCTCCCTCCATGTAAGGGAACACCCGTGCTTGGTGCGTCCAATAGTAATCCTTAGAACCAAAGAAAAACACAGGAAATTCTCCGATTTCATGCTTCATTTTCTGGATATTTGGGGGAACGTTTTTCGGATGGCAAACTTCTGCAGGCCACCATCTAGCACAGAAGTACAAATAAAAAAATACAGCATTTTAGTCAAGCTCTTTCTGCATGAGACAGTTTAGTAAAATCACTCTAAAGAGCAGTAACTGCATATTATTTCCAAGATCCAAGAGGATTTAAAATCCTTTCCTCCCCTCACTCACTAGGCAGTGAGAGAAGACTAGGAAAGGAAAGCCTGACACTCAGATCTGTGGGACTTTGGCCTTCCTCAAAGTTAAGGAAACACTTCAGGCTCCTCATGTCTGGGTGGCAAAACCATCATCTTTACAAGGCCTGCAATCCCTGTAATTGTCAAAGATCAAGAGAAATTTGATAATAGCTATTAATGTTTCTAGGACAACTCCCATCCACCTCTATCTCACTCAAATCTCCATGAAGTGTGAAACACTGACAACCTGAGTGACTGATCTCCCAGCCTGCGAGGTAGTAATTTAGCCAATTACAAGTTATAACAATTTATTTGAAGAGATCTCTGAAACAAAAGGGGTTGAAAGCTCATACACTGGAATCAGATATCATAAGGCTCAAGGAGTCCTGTACGGGTAATGCCCTGGCTGGGAGCAACAGCAAAGCTGCAAGTCTTTGAACTTGAAGCTTGCAAGGTGGTGGGGTCCCCAGCTCAGAGAGGAGTGAGGAATCAGTGTGCAGCAAGGCTGGTCTGCAGGAGAAACTAACTGTATGATCCTTACTTAAACATGCCAGTACTGTAAACAATGTAAAATTCCTTCATCAGACCTGTAATTTCCCAGTTTAACCCAAATAATATCCTGGAAATGGAGCTTCTTGCCCGCCCTGCAGTCGTTGCAGTACCAGCTCCCATCTGGCATTTCAATGTTTAAGCAGTCGGGATGAAAGGCTGCTGGACACGACTCGCAGCACAGCAAGCTTCCACCTTCACAGAGAGAAAAAAAAAAAGAAAAGGAAAACAAAAAGTTTGAAAGACATCAAGACCAAAATAAAAGTTTGCATAAAAACAGTGTGATGTACATGTGGGTAGGTTCACTTATAGAATAAATGGTTAAAATGCAACAAATACATATCTCTTAGTTGTGTACAAAAGCCAAAAGTCCTGATTTGAATGCCTGGCAGACTTGGGTTAGTAACACATGCAAAATAACAAGCAAGCTGGTGATAAAAAAGCCAGAATAATGCACCGCATATTATAATTACTTTGCTTTACTTTAATGACTACAATATGTTTAACACAGTTTAATATATATTAACATTTCAATGTAAGAAAAATTTTAACCACAACAGACTTCTCTTATGTTTGGGTTTTTTTTTTTCCCCTCTGGGGAAAAGGGAATGAGGTTGTTAGTTTGTTCCACGAATTATCAAGTGGAAAGTTAGCTGGAGCTTAAAAGCTGCTATGCTGCTTGTTAATTTGTTAACAAATCAGGTAAACTTTCGCTGCTACAAGCTTAATCAGCACTACGCATTCTGTGGTTCTCAATAAGGAATAGATTTATTGTACAACATAAAACAAAACACCCTTAATTAGCAGCACTCCCAGCAACAACTAATACTGATTCAATTTGCTGCCTGATGCTAAACTAAAAGCAACACTTAAAATATTTATGGCGTAATATTACATATTAGCAATAAAGAAACACAAAAAGCTACAGTACAATGAACACAGGGGAAAGAACAGAGAAATACTCATTATGTGTCTCTCACACAGAATTAAACCAAGCTTCTAGTTGCTGGATAAATTCCAAGTAAAACTATTCTTTAATCAATTATTTCTGCAAAAAAAAAAAAGGATACTTAAAAACCTGAAGCAGCACACGCCAGCCTGATATTATACCGAAACTTCACAAAGCCCCACTTAATATGCCACACTTCTAATAATTTTGTATAAACAGATCAATAAAATAAAATTTAAAACATTTAGAGGCTGCATTTACGAAACAGAGTTCTCTTTGTGAGTTTACCTTTGGAACACACAAAGCACCAGCTGACATTGACATGGGCATGGTGGCTTTTCCCCTTCATGGCAGTGAAATGGTTGGTGCAGACGATGCTGTTGGAGGCGATGACGGCGCATCCCGCGGCAATGCAAATGTCTCCGGCGTGGTACGCAACGGGACAGCGGACACAGCGCATCATCTTCCCTGGCAAAGCACAGCACTGACACGTTACTTCCCAACAGAACTGGCTATCTGAGCTAAAAATGCCTGAGATAGCCAATGCACACACAAATACACGCTCATTATGTTTTCCAAGCCCGCATATTTGCATTTAGCGACAATGCCGAATTGATAAAGGTTTTTTGAAGCACTATAACGTTTAAATGTGAAGATTTCTAACTATGCACACCATTAACTATGACAAGCTTTCTTCAGTCATGTAATTTTGTCTACAGTTGTTGCCCAAAGCTAAAAGCCTGCACAGAATCAAATGTCTCCGTGTTCATCGAGCCCTGCTGCAGTGTTCTTACATTCTCAGGTCCTGCCCTCACTGCCTGGCCTCTTTCCCATCATCTATGCATTCTGGATTTCATTCTCTCTTGAGAATAAAACACGGTTAACTATGGATAACTGAAAGCTAGTCAAAAAAAAAAAAGAGCACGAACAAAGTAAATACTAATGTTGACTAAATATTATTATTATTTTTTAAAAAATTCTGAATCAATCGATAGTCCGTTTACACTTAAAAAAATTGCAGCTAGCAGCTCTAAAGTGGACAGATTCCTTACCTTAACATACCACAAACAGAATTAATTCATCAGTTACAAAAATGTAAAATGAAACTACCTTTTGAAATTCGTGGATGTGAGGGGTTACTGACATGACAACTGAGGCAGCTGTGGAGAGGACATCGAAACCCCCTGTTCTCAAACACAGTAAGATGAAATTTTTTCACACAAGCTTCATGGTAGAATTTTCCACAGTGAGATACGACACAGCGTTTCACATCTGCCTTTCTCTCCTTACACACAAAACAGGTGTGCACACCTAATGGCAAAATAATAAACAGAATGTAACTAATTTTTCATGCAAGCATGTGAATTTAAAATGCTTCTCTTGTGCTTTTATGTTATGCATGAGGAAGTTGCTTCTGTTTTGTGCACTTAAAGTGTACACAACATCCAAAGCCTCACCAATCTGCTTTTATGTTCTTATTTATAAGCCTCAGTACACCAGGACAACTGTGAATTTTAATTTTTTAAATTTTTTTTTAAACCAATGAAACAGAATGATAGGTTGTCTCTGATCCTGTGAAATCTGAGGCAGCACCACAAACCAAAGACAAGCATCCTCATATCTTCTCTCTGGACCACTTGGAACAGCTTTATTTTGAAGCAGCCTTGTTCCAACAAGATGTTACTGCATGTACTGAAATGGGCTTATGAGTAAGAACGCAAATAATTTACATAAAGTTTTGAGATTAAGAACTTCCAAGCAGTTACTACAGGATTAAAAGCAAATGAAATTAATAGCAATTAAGGTAGTCTTTTAATGGGAAAAGCAAAAGACTGATATAGACACACAAAGGACTAAAAAAGGACTTAAAACGTTTCACTTGCTGCTCTTTTTTCTAGGATTTCTTAAGTCTTTGTGACAGACTTTAAATCTCATCTGTAATTGTACTCAGAGAACAAATAATTTGCAGTTATTAAGGCAATGGAATTCAGACTAAAATCAGCCAACTTGCAAGAGAGTTCTCACCAAAACCAGGGTGAACTTTCTAAAACACGGCACACTTAGTGGTACTCTATGAACTCCCACCCTGTCAGGTCCCAAAGGATAAGTAAGGGTTCTCCAAGGATACATACTCTGTCCAGGAGGATATCCTAGAACAATGTATGGGAAAACTACAACTTTTTTTTTTTTTTAAATTAATAGAAAGGGACAAACTTGCCTGATGTACATTCACTACAAATGAATTTTCCTGCTGGTCTTCCAGAGAGCCCAAGGCAGCTTACATGAAAAGCTCGATAGCAAAGTCCTTCACACAGTAGGAGATCACCTGTTTTTTCACACAGCTTTTACAACACAAAGGCATTGAATGTTAAAGAAAAGTTCATATGTGGAAAAAACTGAATTCTTTATTCCATTTCATATACTGCTCCTCAAAATCTCTTTTCCCATTGTTGAAATCAAATTTAACAAGTGAAAGATAATTTTACAACCATCACCACATGCCCTGGCTTCAAGTTGAAACAGGTAAAAGAATCATTAAACCACTAGAAATATCGCTTTCAGAACCATGGTTCAATAGAAAATACAACCTGACAGAAAAAAGGAATAGGAAAAAAGAAGCCTTAAGAAATATTCCCTGAGCACACTGATGCATCTGAGCAGGGTTAAAAAGCATCCTTATTTTCCTTTTCCTTGGCAAAAGGAAATTAATCTAGTTGGCACAATGATACTTCTATGTCTGAGTGGTTAGCAATGACACATGCACAACTAAAAATGAACTGAACAACACTGCTGTCAGAATTTAGGGATTACCCAGCATTTAAAGATAGATATAACCTCATCATCACTATGTACAAGAAATGGAAATGTAACTGCTTGCCCAGTTTCATGGAAACAAATTTGATCTGCCTACTTGGACTGTGTTATCATTTCATAATCTAAGAACTCTGCTAGAGTAGTCTTTGAAAAAGCTTTTTGCTTTCAGCTGCCACTTGCATGCTGTGATCAGTGCATCACTGCCACCTCTGCTGCACACAAAGCACAAACCCCACCAGGTTTGAGTTCCTCCTCTTTACTAAGAGAGGAGTGAGCAGCTCTTCTGAATCATCACTGGTCACCTGGCAACACTCATTTGCTTATTCTGAGGTACAAATCATGCTTATCTTACAGATCTGGAAGCTCAAGCAGAGAGGCTAAGTCACTTACTGGAGGTGAAGAAAAAAAATAATTAGGTACTAAGAACTTCATTTACTGGCATGGCAACCTCATCACTAACAGACATCTCAGACACACATTATAATCCTGCTTCTGGCCTCACATCGTTATTTTAATCTTTAAAAACACCTTTCCGTGTCTCGCTGCCCCAGCTAATGTCTCTCACCTGACACACATATTCTTTTTTTGTTCCTGCTCCTCGCTCAGATTTTTTGGATGATATAGACACTTCAGTCTGAGTTTCATCAGCACTTTCATAGGGAGACTCTGACCGCTCATCTCCTTGGCCATCGGAGATCTGAAGATTAAACACAGGTGTTAGAGAAAGCAGCCACGAATGGTCATTTCTGCACAGAATATCAGCTGATGGAAGCAAACAGACTGCAATTCAGACTAGGAGATTCAGGCACACTCTTTCGGTTTTGTTTCCCCCACCTTCAAGAAAAACTTCATTAAAAACCAGAATATGCACTTGTGGAAATCTCAGCAAAAGGACTCTGTAACAATCACCCTCACCAGCAACTCAACAGCAGCCAAAACAGAACACCAGAACTTTGTAATATGGCATTTTATTTATACTCAGTTCTGTAATACAGTTAGCAAGAAGTGCCTAGCCAGTAACATAAGGATATCTTCAAATCCCTTGACTGAAGTTTGAGTATGTGGTTTACGAGACAGTAACAGTCAGTTTTAAAAAAGAAACTTGGTAAACTTCAAGCTGTGTATTAAAGTCTCTGACTCAAATATTCTCTGACGAAGTGGGAATAGTATATAGAAGAGAAGAAGAAAAAAACAAGCAGCTCTCAATATGTTTAGGGAATGTTACAGTACACAATGAATTCAAAATACTATGAAAGATAGTCCTGTTATGGATCAATCTTATATAACAGATCTAGATGTATAAAATATGGAGAATTTTTAAAAACAGTCATAATTTACTTCAAAACTTTAACTTGTAAAAAAACCAACCCAAGTAACATATTTAAAGAAAAATACAGGGCAGTTTTCAGTTCAATAGAATTTAAGGAGGGAACGGACAACCAAGTGATTTGTCTCATCTCACATTACACCAGAAGATGCAGAATTTCTTGCTGTTGCCCCCAGATGGTACTCAGTGAGTTGTGTCTCACCAAGTACATTCTCCAGGAGAGCATCACAACTTGGAATTGCAAAAGAAATCTGTCACTTCTCTTTGAGCTTGTTCTAATGGTTATTCACACATACCATCAAAAGCACTGCCTCCTGTCCTTTTGGGTTGTCTAACTGCAACTCCCAGTTGATGATGCCTTCTCAGGTACTTCAGCTATATTAAAAGTCCTTTGGAAGCAGACATTTTCCTCCTGTGGAAGCATGCTGCCATTAAACTGGTTTCAACCCTTTTTGGTCCACTCTCTAATTTTCTCCCTAGGGGACATTTTACAGCATCTAGAGGATTTCAGTGGGTTTTTTTCTAAATCTTATCTGTACTTTAAAAGGGTTGTTGAAAAATCAGGCATGAGAACTGGAGGCAATAGCCCATTACAAGTCTTCTAAGTCCAGTATCCAAAACAAGCCACCATGCTACTACTCTTCTCCACTTCTGTTCTGCTATGCAAGGATCTCCCTAAGTCTCTTCAACACAGCACTGAAAGTCACCGTAAATAGCTGTGCTACTCAAGAGATCATTTTGCCAATGGCCATTTGTCAGGACAGAAACACCCCACTTTATATGAAGGATTTGCTTTCTCTTTTCAGACATAGAATCTCATCTTTAATGACAGTAAATTAAAAAATGACCCAGCTACATGCAGGAGACAGCTACATGCACCCTGCCTATCAGACAATCCATGTAACGTGCAAATTTATTAGAAGTGATTTATTTTGACATCAGAGAGAAAAATATAAGACTGAACCAGGCCTAGAATTACTCTTTATAAAAGCCCTTCAGAAACACTTGGTTTTGAGTGATTACTTCTCACTGCTGCTGCCAGTTAACATTTAACATTTGCTTGCCTTGACCATGTCTAAAAATATTTTAAAAATTGAATCAGACTGACAGTTGTTGGTTGGTGGGTTTTGCCCCCCCCCCCCCATTACTTGCAAGAATATAAATTCATTTCCTCCATGCAAATAAATACTATCAAAGTGTCTTGTACCTACACATCACCTACGAATATTCCTACAATTGGAGGGATTTGGAGATTCTGCTTGGCCGTTTTGCAAAAAACTGCATGAAAAAATCATTGCTTTGTTCAGTCACCTGGAAATCTCTGTCCCCTGGAAGGAGCTGTGAAATAGTAAAACTGCAAATGCAACCCAAGTGCAAGGCCAGGAGCAGCCAGTTCTTGCTGGGAAGGGGCAGATAAAGGAAGGCAGCGTGGGAGTGCGGCAAAAACACAAACCCAGTTTCCCTTATGGTTTAAGCATACTTACACACATGCTCATTTTTGTTTAAACTATCCCCACAGAAGCATTAATTAGTGTAAGCAGTGTACTGCTCCAACGTTTTTAGTACCTCATTATGTTCCTTGTTTGAACTAGCCAGAATTAGTCATGGTTAGAAAAGAATAATAAAAAAAATAAGCTGAAAGGTCTTAGATCTGTATTTCTTTTCTCCTTCAAAAGAAAAGAGAACAAAACAAGCAGTCTTATGTTAACTTGACACTATGGTTGTTCCCCATCTTTTACCCCCACCACAAAACACCTTAACCCTGACAAAATCCTTTTGTGCAGCACACCTTGAGTTAAGAGAGTCTTCCCAGCAGCAAAAGCTACAGAGCCTTGCTCCTGAGGAAGGCACTCATCTTCCCCCAGCTCACTACTTTTGAAGGCAGAGAAGAGACACAGAACACATACAGTGACAAATACATTCAGTCAAAAGACAATGAGTCAAAGCAATGGTTTCCAAGATATTCTTTGGCTTATATACTCTGTTGAAACAAAGGATGCAGACCTCTATATGGAAAGGGAACCCTACTGGCAGATGGCAGTTTTTCAGAACCCCCCTAGGTCTTGGTGACAAAATCCCAGCTATTTGTGAACCATAGGCTGACATCAATTTTCCTACAGAACAGAGATTTTACTGCCTCAGAATTAATGTGCCAGCCCTTCACTTAAATTAAATGGTTACTGAGCCAAAAAAAGGAGCAGCCCTGGCAAGAATCAAACTCTACATCACAAATGCAACCACAAAAGCCAAATTCTATCAGCCCATTCAAGATAAAACTTGGCAATTTACACCCACTTATAGATTAATGCCAGATTTCAAGCACGAATACCAACATGCAGAGCATGAACAAAATACCTTCAGTTCATCAACGGTATGGCTACCAGGCCGAGAGTATCTTTCAAGATCTCTCCTTTATGGCTGTCAGGAGCCTCACGCGCTTCACAAATAAAACGCTCTATTAACCACCAGTTTTGTATCACACAGAGAAGCCTGGATACCTGCTCAGGGCTGTCTCAACTCCTAAGAATCACTACATTCACAAGAAGCTCAGTGATACACCTCTATGGCCTGGTGCAGGCTGCTGCTGCAGGACCCATCTCATCATCCCTGCCAACTGTGACCAAAGGTTTAGCCATCACAGCCAACAGCTACAACTCATTCACAGCTCACATGTGCCTCACCATCATCTGAGAGTTTTCATACTGGCTAATTTCAGGGCCCTAATAAGGGGAAGGCTAGCAGATTCCCTGTTGTAAGAAAGGGAAGCATTGCTATAGGATACTTCAAAGTTTGACCCTTATTAGTATCTTGCAGAAGGTGAAACACCCTCTGCCAGCCATCTCCCCTTGCAAATAACCCCTGTTCCATATAACCACCTTTTGGGAAGGGTCCCTCTATGAAGAGGGAATGAATTCAACACTTCAGCTCCTGAAGTTATCCCAGAACAGGCAATGGAAGTATTGGGAAAGTGAAATAAGGGTCTGTCCCTTCAGGCCTGAGGAGAAGAGGTCAAGACAACCTCCACCTAATGTTTCTCAGAGAGGACTTAGAACCTAAGAGAGGCACAGCATGAGATGGTTGGGAAAACTCTATTTGTACCCCAAGCAAGCTGTAGCAGCAAAACCAGGTTCCGGTCCACCAAGGGGACACTGAGTTTCACAATTAAAATACCTGTAGATTGAAACAGTCACTAAGTAAAGATGATTTACAACAGGATTGCTAGAAAGCAGTTTGTGCTGACGTGACACAGCCACCGCTACAATGAGATGTAACACTTTTGCGGGTTGTTAACCCAACTCTCCACAGCGGAAGGTCTAATACTTCGCATACCAGAGCCCTAATCACAGCCTTCGATACAGATCAGGACAGGTTTTGGGGTTTTTTTTTCTGTACTTGTTAAGTTACAAATGTAAATCTTTCCCTTGTGATCATGGCAGAGCTTGTCTTGTCCTTACTTTCCTAATATAATCTTCCTAGCAAAGAAAATTGCATGTAATTAATGCTTCTGATATTCAGGCCAAGGTTCAAAGTAATCAACATTTGGATTAGGGGGAAAACCTGTTAATTAGCAATTTGTAGCTATTTTATTCTGCTTTGCATTTTGAGTAATTTCTTACTTCTCATAAAGGCAAAGTACTATTTTTAAGAGTGCAAATTTAGGGGGAAAAAGGCACTTCAGATTTTTAGCAACTGCCAAGTTTCTGCCTTGAGATTGTACCCAAATTCTATCATCACCTCCACTTGTTAGCAGTTACTGATGCTGCAATGTGAAAGATGCCCTTCTTCTGCTGCAGTCAGGATACTCACAAGCACCATCAAACTTTGCATTTTGCACATCAGTCAGGCTTTCCTTCCCATTTCCTTCAATTACTGAACATCAACACTACTTTGTGAGGACTTGCCTGTAGAGGCTTTCACACTTCACTGCCTGAACACTGAGCAAGGGTGGTATTTCAGAAATCAAATGCAGCTCTTTCTACTGGAAACTGTGCACCTGCATACGCAAGTGAGAGAAAGGGAAGAAAATGGCCTAAACCCCAATCATGAGCTTTGCTCTTCACTTCAGCTGGGCCAGAACTTACTTCAAGGATGGAGAGGTTCAGAATATGGTTACTGCTCACAGAACAGACCAACTTCCTGTCAGGTTCCCAAGACTACCTTTCCTTTCCCACGTGTCTCAGTCATTATTCACTACTCACACATGTAAGACTCAAAGGGAACATGTAAGGACACATTACTGCATTTTTCCAAGTTCTCCATAGCTTTATTATTGAAAAAATACTTCGCCACTGAGTCAAACTGGGACAAAATTTTGGCATCTCTGTGAATTCTTTGTGTTTAGTATTGTATTTTTACCCTTGAAAAGAGAG